CCGTGAGATCGCCATCACACCCCATGTCCGAAGAAAGGAAGAAAAAGACGAAGAGGTCCAATCAAGCAGTCGAAGGCTCTAAAAAGAGGCACCCTGAACAAGACGAAGGGTCCAGCGAGTGGGAGGAGGAGGATCAAATACCCTTTCCCAGCTTAGGAAAGGATAAAGAACAGGAGAAGTTTACACATAGAGTCGAGATGTATCGAAGACATTCAAGGCGAAGACTCTAAACAGGAAGAAGAATCAGGGGATGAAGAAGAGGACAAAAAACCTCCTGGACGAGAATTAAACACAGAAAAGAAGGTTAGAGGTTGAACAGGAATCACCTCAGAAGATGAGATCAGGGAGGAGAAGAACCCCAAATCTCAGTAGAACAAAAGGGCTGTGCAGAATAGGAGCATTTAGTGTCGACAGATAACGACACTGGCTCATCCAAAATCCTATTGGCTGACTATGGTAGATGTGAGTGGAGGGAATGGAGTCATGGGCTGCACCTCACAAGGGACGGAAGAAGATCATTGGCATTGTTGATTGATCACCAGTGGTGTCATGAAGTACGACCTTTAGAGTGGGCGCCACGCACACCTGACCAGACCATTCTGTCTGCTAGGGGGTTAGTTAGGGGAGGGAAGAGCCGAACTAAGAGAAAAGTTATGAAATGATTGAGTGATGAGTCGAGCGAGACTAAGTGATTGTGAAGAATAACAACAAGAGAATTTGTTACCTTTCAGGAATGATAGCAAGGTACAAGGTGGAAGCAGACTACATAGCATTAAATTCAGGGAGAACAGAAATTCATGTTGCTATCAGCTGAAGAAGCTAGAAGGTGTAGAGATGATACCCTGGGGACTTGTACCTCGTTGAGCCCTATCTATAAAACTGGTAACCGCAAACTGTGCATACTAGAATTGTTTGAAGGGAGGGAGAAGGAATCAAAAGAATCTGCCAAGTGGAGGTATTAACAAACTCAGCATTACCACAAGCTATCAGTGTTTCAGACGGGGTGTGGGCAGTAGCCACCCAGAAACATATCAGCCTGTCTAGGGTATGTGGGGAGAGTCCACAAGGACATTAAGAATAAGGCCACCGTTATCCCTGGTGTCGCTACCCATGGGATGTTCGGCGGTTGGGGTGTCCATCTCCTTGCCCCCTATTACCAGATGGAAGAAAGGTATGAAGAAAAAAGATTCACTCATAGAGATGATTGGTAGAGGCTTAGTCAATTGTACAGAATTATGGGAGCCGATAGTAAAGAGATTCTCTAATGTCACCTTAATAAGATGCCAGTATTAATGAAGCCAATAGAAAAGATCGATATGGATCACTTAAGGGATAAGTTAAGTGCGTTGGGAGACGAAGGTGTAGCTTGGGAAGACGATGAGCAGATCGCGATAAGTTGGTCAATAGTAATGGGTACATTCCTAGTTATAGCCCTCGGGGGTGTAATAATATGGAAGATTAAGAGTAAGAGAAGATTAGCGAACGACAGTCTAGTGAGCATGCAACAACTCGAGAGGGAGATGCCGAGCAGTGTTCCTCACTCAGACAGGACTGGCGAAGAAATTGCTGGAAGACCAATGGAGGAGGCTGGCGTGAGACCACCACGTGCGGCGGAAAAACCTCCCACAGCAGAGAGGAAAACATTGACCAAGAAGAAAACCCTAAACACATCCCCTAGTGAACACATCTGCATGTACAAACACACACACATTACCTTGCATGTAAAACAAAAGAAAATGAAAAAGAACATTTCATTGCATGTAGAACAAAAGAAAATGAAAAGAACATTTCATTGCATGTAGAACAGAAGAAAATGAAAAGAACATTTCATTGCATGTAGAACAGAAGAAAATGAAAAGAACATTTCATTGCATGTAGAACAGAAGAAAATGAAAAGAACATTTCATTGCATTGCATGTAATGAACAAAATTGAAAATGAAAAGAACATTTCATTGCATGTAGAACAAAAAGAAAATGGAAAGAACATTACCCTTGCATGTTAGAAAGTAGAATAGAATTGCATGAGACAAATGCATGGTGCATGTTAAATGATGTAATTGGGTTTAGGTGTCATTTACGGGTAAATGACAAATCAGTTAAAGGGAGGATTGTGGCACCTTGCATTATTAGAAATATTCATAGAAATATGATTTAATTTTTTCTTACTCAGTTTACTAAACAGGTTGTTAATTTTTTTTTTTTTTTTAAACGGAAAATAACTGAGTTGAAAATAATTCACTAAGAGTGTACTAGACGATCCTAAGGAAAGAAGAAGGAAAGAAAGGAAAAAAAGGAAGGAAGGAAGAAAAAAAAAAGAAAGAGAAATGTATGACGCATGACCCAATTGAGGGTGGAGATAGGAGTCAGAAAGAGATTTAGGTCAGCGTCTTGGCCGATTTTCGAAAGTCATTTTGGTAAGAATGTCGGTCAGAGCACCTAGCCTACTTTTGCATGGAAAGACACCTTATCAATTTGGATAAAGAGAAATTTTGGGAACAATGAAACAATTTTTAATCAGAGAAAAGTGTCTTTGGGTTGAGGGGAGACCGGTGGAACGATATACAGACCTGTTAAGAATTGGACACCCACGTTAATAAAGTAGAGACATTTCAATGTAGATAATTAAGATTTTCGACTATCAGGTAAAACAAAGAGGTAAAAAAGAGGGACAATTGCTTTTGGCTCACAGAGGGCGCCAAGAAGGCGGAAAAGATCCTTTCTAAAGTCAAGACTAATTAGCAGCGGGCTGTTTGACAAAGTCCAGGTGAGAGAAAGCCAAAAGATTGTCATTTTGCGTACGTGCAAAAAAAAAGGCAAAATTGGATTTTGTTTTTTTTTAAACAAGAACGATGTAACCACGCCCGCAAACAGAGGGGAGAGGATGTTCGATCAATAACAATTGGTCGAATACGATCACGTGACCTGCGGAAGAAAAGGAAAAGAAATGTTCGATCAATAACAATTGGTCGAATACGATCACGTGACCTGCGGAAGAAAAGGGAAAAATGCTCGATCAGGAACGATTGGTTGAAAAGCGGTCACCTGACATACGAGAGACTAAGAGAGATGGATGTGCGCCGCCCCACCAAAGGTACTGCGAGGAAGTAGGGGCGAAAACAATAGCGATAATGGAGAAGACAGAATTAATGCAGTTTTGGAATTATCGAGAAAACCCTGACGCCGACAGACCCACCCCAGTTTGTTGCGGCGTCAATATAAGCAGGACCCCAGTCGACAGAAATCAGTTGAGTTGGAGTTGCAGTTGGAGTTGAGAGTTGGACCGCGGGCAGGGATAGAGCCTGAACGCGGCCATCAAACCCGATTCACTCGCCCTTTGCGGGCAGAAGAATCCTCAGACAAGAAATCCTTCCAGCCCAAGTCGAAGACAGGAGAACTTCCAGCCCAAGTAGACGAAGAAGAAGATTGCCTGAAAGCCTGAGAAAATTGGAGATGCAGACAAGCCGAAAGTCGATGAGAAGTTAGAGTTCATCCCCGGACGGCAGCGAAAAAAGAACCCTCAGACAAGAAGAACTTCCAGCCCAAGTAGATGAAGAAGAAGATTGCCTGAAAGCCTGAGAAGAATTGGAGCTGCAGACAAGCCGAAAGTCGATGAGAAGTTAAAGTTCAGCTCCGGACGGCAGTGAGAAGAGACCACCTCAGACGACAGAGAGTTGCGGCTAAGTTGAAACAAGAAATCTTCCACCAAGTTGAAACAGGAAAACTACCAGCCCAAGCAGACGAAGAAGAAGAAATACAACTCAAGTCGGAGAGAAGAATCAACTGCGAATGATCGATAGAAATTAGCCCCAGTGTCGAACTGAACCACACTCCGACATACATACATGATTCTAGAAAGTAGGTAATTCGACATTTTTCTATTGTGTGATAGAAGCTTGGTGCCATAGTCCACAGAGCGGGTCGGGAAATGAGAACACTTTTGTTTTTATGTAACGGACTTTAAGATATAAAAGGTTGTTACCCTTTTTATCAGCAATTTTGTTTGGTGTCGTGAGTTTTTATTTTATTTGTGTTTTGCCACCCCGTCGGACTCAACTTGTATCGGCCCCGATCCCTGCTGGTCCCGTCTGTCTAAGATCTAAACACAGCGTGGGTAGACAGACCGGAGATCGGTATAGTTGCTTTAGTGACCAGGTATTGGAAGCGAGTCGGGAAAGGCGAGGCTGGTGATCATCTGACCAAAGGGTTGGAGCGGCACGCTTGGACCCAGGAGGAGCGACCAGGAGGAGCGACGTCACCGTTGGCGCCGTAACCAAAGGATCCGACACTGGGCCAGGTGTGTAACCGTCACATTTCTCATACAAATTCTTTTTTATATAAAAAGGGTTATTTTGTAAGTATTTGTTTTCAGCTGAAAATGATTAATTTTTAAGGAAGAACTGTCTTTTTCGCGAAAATGATTATTTTTTCAGAGATACTTTGGGTTTTTGAATGATTTATATTTATGCAATTATTGTTATGAAGGAAAATCCCTTTTCCATGAAAATTGCATTATAAAAGAATTTTCGTTTTATGCAACGGATTTTGATTTGCTTTTACAAGAAAATGAAATGACTTTTATAAAAAATAGTTTTTCGGTAGTATTATGGAAAGAATAACATTAAAGAAAATTGCTTTTTCATTAAAAAGAATTAGTTTTATGAAAATGCTTTTTCAATATAATTGTTTCATAAAAATAAATCTTTGCATAATAAAGCCAATTAATTCATCAAAAATATTTAAAAAAAATAAAAACTAATTAATTTAATAAAAGGTGAAATCATTTTATAAAATAAGCAAATTATTTCATAGAAGTAATTAATTTCTTTGGTAAAAAGTAAGTATTTTCATAAATTAATTACTTTCAAAATAAGTCAAATTTTGATTTTTTTTAGATAAAAGTACTGTTTAAAGAAAAGAAAATATATTTTATTTGTATAACAAATTAAAACTTTTTAATTCCAAATTCAAAATCGTAAATTAATCCAAATATTGACTAGAAATGCTTCAGCGTCTCTGGTTGTTTGGAGTTGTTCACATTGTCTGTCTCTCTCGGCTCTACAAGATAGTGTGATCCATCAACATAATGAACCGACCCAAAGAGATGCCAGTGAAGTTTTTGAGGGCAACCTCACTCATTAGGCAATTCCGAAAGGTGCCTTTAAAAATCACTAAATCTGTCAGAATCCCGGCAGCCGATGCCTTGGCTACTGTCATAGACCAGGCACTTAACTTTCCTCCCTCATTTTGACTGGGATCACCTTTTCTCTTACGCAACACTTGTGCTTGGCATTCCTTACAATAAGGACCCTACATCATCTGTTTCATCTATTATGAAAAATAACATTTTTTTATTCAATTCGTCTGAAATAAATGCCACCGAATTTTCAAATCTTTCTAATCCTAATAGATTTCATCCTTCATCAGTCGACGATTATAAGAGACTCCGTGCCCTCGTCAATGCTAAGTTGATCGAGGGTGATGTCTTAGCTGCAGTTAGAGTATTGGCCTCATCCGATACTATACTAGCTACTACACCAGAAGTTCTCACAACGCTTCGTCGGAAACATCCTGCGCCACCATCAGATGTCAGATTTGTTCAGATGGAAAACAATGATTCAAATATTGAAATCGCAAAAGAAGCAATGGTTGCCGCCCTGAAGTCTTTCTCGGGAAGTAAAAGTGGAGGTGTGGACGGCCTTCGACCTGGTCACATCAAGGACTTAATTTCTGCCCATTCTGCCGAAGTGGGTGAACATTTGAAAACATCCATAACAGCTCTTATTAATTCCCTTATCCGAGCTGAGATACCCCAACGTGCTCGTGACTTAATATTTTCAGCCAACTTAACGGCTTTAAAAAAAAGACGGAGGTATCCGCCCTTTCGCTGTTGGTAACATTTTTCGTCGACTCGCGGCCAAAATTGCTTGTAGAGTTGTTGTGAAGGAGATAGGGCATGAATTGCGACCTGTCCAGCTCGGGGTAGGCATACTGGGTGGATGTGAAGCCGTGGTTCATGCCACAAAATCATTTTTCGAGAATACATCATCTGCTTCCCCACGTATCTTATTAAAATTGGATATGAAAAATGCTTTCAATAGCATCAGAAGGGATCATGCCCCGGAAGTTTGCCATCAACGGACTTCTTCCATATTTAATCTGGCTCATCTTTTGTATAGTTATCCAAGTATGTTGATCGCCTCCGATAATATTATCTCTTCTGCTACTGGAATCCAGCAAGGTGATCCACTTGGTCCACTACTATTTGCGATGGCTATTGACGGGGTAGCTCGTTCCATCGCATCTCCTTTCAATATACGGTATCTTGACGATGCAACGTTGGGAGAATCTATCGAGGCCGTAGTTACTGACCTCCGACGAGTTATTCCTGCTTTATCACTGCTTGGACTTGAGATTAACTCGTCCAAATCAGAGATAATAAACTTGAATTATAATGCAGATGATTTCGAGAGTGCTATCCGGGATATCAGGCTCATCCTTGAGGATATAAAAATAACACCATATTCTTGGTACTCCAGTCTTTCCAATGGCCATTCGAGAGTGTTTGGATACTAAGCATATCATTCTAACAAGAATGACTGAGAAATTGCAATTAATTGATGCACACCAAGCCCTCTTCCTCTTCAAGAACAATTTTTCGCTACCGGATTTCCTCTACACTCTCCGAAGTGTCCCTTGCTACCTCGAACAGGATTTCATAAATGAGATAGATATCACAGTTAAGAGATGTGCTGAGCTAATTTGCAACGTCAATTTCGACGACACAGGCTGGAGGCAGGCAAAGCTCCCTTTGAGTTTCGGAGGCCTGGTCCTTCGATCAGTGGTAGATTTGGCCCTTCCAGCATATCTTTCTTCACTTTCGTCCAGTCTCGGTGAATGGTCTCAGTGTTTCTCGGATAGTTCTTTCGAACAAGCTTGCAGCATCTGGACACAAGAATTACTTTCTCTCCCACTAGACACATCAAAACAAAAAAGCTAGGATAAAATAAAATGCGAGGCCAATTTTACTAATTTGAGGCTCTCTCTGGATCAGCATCGCCCCGTCTGTCTACTATCTGCTTCACAACCGAGTAGTGGCGCCTGGCTCAACTCAGTGCCCTCTTAATCCACCGGTACCCTTCTAGATGATGAGTGCACTCGAGTCGGAGTCGGGATCCGTCTTGGATTCAAATTATGTGAGCGTCACAGATGCAGATGTGGAGCCTCCATCGATGAGTTTGGTTTGCATCCTCTCTCCTGTCGTTGTAGTGCCGGCCGCTTTCCACGGCATGCAGCCATTAACGACATCATCAAAAGAGGTTTGGATGCAGCTGGGTTCCTTTCCCAAATCGAACCCGTAGGCCTCGACCGGGTGATGGAAAGCGGCCGGATGGCATTACCATTTTCCCTTTTAAAATGGGGAAGTCGTTGATTTGGGATGCGACCTGTGCGGATACATTTTCGCCCGGTAATTTGATCAGGTTCGCGGTTGAGCCGGGATCCGTCGCCCGGGACGCAGAGATGAAAAAAATAGTTAAATATTCTTCTTATGCTGATAGATTTTTTTTTACTCCTGTGGCAGTGGAGACTTCAGGGGTTATTGGCCCTCGTTCGATGGCGTTCCTTCGGAGGATTGGCGCGATTGCGTCTCGATTAAGGGACGAACCTCGCGAAACAGAGTGGCTCTTGCAGCGTGTCTCACTGGCGATGGTTCGAGGTAACGCTTTCTCCATCATTACGGCTGGCAGAGGATAGAAAAAAATTGTTTATAAGTTACGTTGTTCTGGAATTGTCATCAATGGTTAAACTAAACTTGTTTTGTTTCAATAAATTTTCCTTGATATAATTAAAAGAAATAAAATGAAAAAAAAAAAACAAAAAAAAAACGTTTTGACAATGCTAAAATCTAAATTATCAATTGATAAAAAAAATGAACGATTGTAGAAAATGCAGAGTTGATGGGGTAAGCAAAAACAGAAAGAAAAATAAGACAATCGTTATCCAAATATTGCGTCATATTGTTGACGTGTCAACGTAATTGAAATGGCTCTTCGTGAGAGAAAACCATGTTTGGCAAAAATAAAAATCTGCGTTCGCGGTTAAACTACCAAATCCTATACTACAAATATATACACTGATTACAGTTTGAAATTTGATAATCTAGTTTACATTCCAGTTTGTTTTTTATTTTTAGGACATTAAATTTATTCAGAGCAGAAAAACTACAACGTTTCAGCCATATCATCCTTTACTCATTTTCATGCCGTATTTGAAACAAAACTCAATCTCCGTGTGATCTCATTTCGCTCTTCCATGTCTAGATAATATCTTTCCAATTAATTTTCACCTGTTTATCAACTTCTGAATTGTTAGAAAGTTTCCTCTACTGAATCAGATTATTCGACCTTTCCAAAAAGGGACTGAACACGCAAGTCTCAATGAACATGACATTCCAAATACTTTAATACTGTATGTCTACTGATTAATCGAGTGATATTATCTTGGAGTCTTAAACCTAATACCCTATACTAAAGTCGTGTAAACTGAATGCTCTTTCTAAATCAGAAACTCCTGGATATTATCTATCCCTATTTTAAATCTACTAGGAAGGTTGTCACTGTCTATCATGTACCTTGATTCTTTTAGTCATTGTATCCTCTAGTACAGTGGATCCCAAAACCACTGTACTAGAGGATACGACGTTACGGCGCGTCTCATAGGCGCGACAGATGGGAATAGCAGGTGAGGCGGAATGATTGAAAGAAAATCAAAGATTTAGAAACAGTATCAAAAAGTCATATACCAAAAATAAATATGATTTCAAGATTTAAATTATGAATTACTTGTAATTGATTGCATGAGTCCCAGTATAGTTATTGACTGATTTTAACATTGTGATATTTTTGTATTATATCACGTATTAAGAATATATTAATTAGGTCCGCAAATTGGAGGAGAGAGTTATCAATAATAATTTTCTAATTTTTGAGTTATCTCCCTTTAATCCCCTCTCTGTTTTTTGGGGGTTTTTTTTAAGTATTTTTTATCATATAAAATTTGGTGAGCAAATTTTCATTCCGATAATGAGATTCAGAGAAAAAAAATTTTGGGAACCACTGGTCTAGTACATTCCTTTATATGTTATCTTCATTCCATAGAAATTTATAACCACATTTATTCCTCCAGACATAATCAACCACACTTGATTTCAATGTCTCCATGGATTAATGGCGTTCGCTGTTCCACCACTCTTACATTTATGGAGAGGCTGGTCTTCATCGGACAGAATATACACAGTTTTTCGTCATGTTCACCACCAAAGATATTTTGGTCAGTAAAATGTTGAGTTGTTGGGAGTGTTCCCGTGTGTGTGTATTCGAATAAAGACAAACACAGTTGTAGGGATAAATACTGGTATATTTGTAAGAGGTAATTAACAACAGAGTGATTAGTAATAAGGAACGCCGGTTAGTAAGTAACAATAGCAAAAGTCTACAGTCCAACGGTATGTAATGGTAACCTGATCCTTCACCCTACACACCTACTCTCTCTAGCACTGACTTATATCGTAGAGGGATAAGTCCATTATCAGTCAGAAGGTGGGTGCGCCCCAACACCCACCCCCCTAAAATTGTTTTTTACATTGTGGAAAAAAAAATTTTTTTTTCAATATTTTTTCCTTTTCGGGTCCATTATGAATTGTTGCGTCGCTTTTCGCTTTCTACCAGATCTGCGCTGGTTTTGTTCTGCCTGTGGTATTTGTAGATCAAAAATATCATACAATTCGTATAATTCATCTTCTTGCGGAGTTTCTTCCGATTCTTCGGTACTCCTTTTCTTTAGCTGGTTGATGTGCCTTTTATGGGTAAATATTTCCCTTGTACAATGTACACCTTATTCCCAATCCGCTTTTGTATGACTCCTGGTTCCCACGATGTCGAATTATTTTTGTAATTCTTGAAAAAAACTTTTTCATTTAAGTGGAATTTTCGCTTAGGAAGCATAGCGACTGGTGTGTGTACCTTATTTTCAGGTATCAACTTATCAAATTCAGATCTGATCTTCCTTGCAAACATTAGCTCCGCAGGTGATAGGCTTGATGGGGCAGATTTATTCGGAGTAATGCGGTATACTTGCAGGAATAGCTGTAACGCCTTTCTAGTCGGGGTACCTGTTGCTTTTTTCAGAGCCCTTTTTAACGTATCGACGAACCTTTCGGCTAGTCCGTTGCTGCGTGGTGGATACGGAGGAATCCTCACGTGATCAACTTGGAAATTTTGGAAGAATTCTGCGAATTCTTTGCTCGTGAATTGAGTACCGTTGTCGCTAACCACAGTATCTACCACTCCAAACCTTGCAAATAGTTCATGCAATTTATTAATTGTATTTTGAGATGTTGGCCTCTTCATTTGGAAAACTTCGGGCCATTTACTAAAGCTGTCAACTACAACCAAATAATGCCACCCGTCAATTGGACCCGCAAAATCAATATGAATCCTTGACCATCGCCTGTTGGTTTTTGGCCATGGTTTCTGTAGAATTTGTGGTGATTTTGATGCCAAAATGCAGCCTTTACATCTGCCGACCATAGACGCGATGTCGTTGTCCATACCTGGCCAATGGACGTATGCTCTCATGAGGCTCTTCATTCTATTTATGCCCGGGTGACCAGCATGAAAATCTTTTAGTATTCTTTTTTGGAATGTGCTAGGGATTACTACCCTTTCACTGTATATTAGTACATTATCGCACAGAGAGAATGTCTCTTGAATTTTTTCGTCTTTACTAGCTAGCTTATCTTTTATTTCTATTATATATTTGTCCTTTTCTGCCTCTTTTTTGTTGTCCTTAAGCGATACTGGTAATTCTCGAATTGCGCTCGCCAAATTTTCTTCAACCTCGTCCTCTGCTCTGAGGGATGCGATTACCGTATCCTCTAAAGGTTCTGTTGCCTTTGGAATGAGTCTTGATAGACCATCTGCGTGACCAATTTTGTGGGTGGACAAATATTGTATTCTAAAATTATAATTAAACAAAATTGTCCCCCACCTAAGCAATCTATTTGCTGTGTATGTTGGAAGACCCTTTTTTTAACCGAATATCGTTACCAGAGGCTTGTGGTCTGTGTAGCGTGAAATACCGTCCATGTATGTATCGATGGAATTTTGTTACAGCGAAGATAATTGCAAATGCCTCTTTCTCAATTTGTGAATAGTTTCGTTCAGCAGGTAGTAGCGATCTGCTTGCATGAGCGATTGGTCGAACTTTACCATCCTTCCACTTGTGCAATATGCACGCACCTACGCCGTGTGTACTGGCATCGCTCGCCACGATGATATCTACGTTTGGATCAAAATGTACCAGAAATAAATCTGATGTCAGTTTTTCTTTTATATCCTTAAATGCTTGCTCGCATTCTTTTGTCCAAATCCAAAGTTTCTCTTTTTTTAGTAGATCGTTAAGGGGAGCTCGTAGAATGCGGAGGTCTGGGATAAAATCCTGGTAATATGACACCAAGCCGAAAAAAAATTGTAGGGATTTAATATCCTTTGGCTCAGGCATATCTTTTATTGTTGATGCTCGACTTTTATCTGGCTTTTTTCCTTCTTTATTCACTATATGTCCCAGATACTTAATCTCCAGGAGAAAATCGCATTTATTTTCTTTCATTCTAAATCCATAGCTTCTTAACCTTTCGAAAACTTTGCGTAAATGGTGTTTGTGTTCATCCACCGATTCACTTTTCACGAGTATATTGCCGAGATATGCTATCGTGTAGTCTAACCCAGATAACATAGTATCCATTATTTTCTGGAATATTGCGGGTGCTGTCTTCACCCCGAACGGTAAACGTTCGTATCTGAACAAGTCTTTATGCGTGTTAATGCATAGCAACTTTGCGCTTTCGTTATCCATGGGTACTTGCAAGTATGCCTCGCTAAGATCTATTTTCGAAAAGATTTTTCCGCCATTTATCTTTGCGAACACTTCTTCGAGACTTGGTAGTGGATAGTGGTACTCTTCTATTGCGTCGTTTAACCCAGTTGAAAAATCGGCGCAGACGCGAATTTCGCCAGACTTCTTTACGTAGACAGCTGGAACTGCCCAGTCACTGTATTCCGTTTTCGAGATCACACCAATTCTCGTTACTCTTTCGAGTTCTTGGTCAATTTTCTCTAATGCGGCAAAAGGGATGCTACGCTTTTTTTAAAAAATTGGTTGAATATTTTTCTTCAGCTGTATTTTTGCTGATTCTTCTGTGCACCGTTCAAGTCCTTCAGCGAAGACTTCGGGGAATGCTATTTTCAATTCTGTTTTTAAATTGTTTATATTGTCTTTGCTTTCACTAATGTTGTTACAAAAAAGAACTAATGGGCGTCCATAGATTGAACTTAGTGATTGCGTCAGTCCCAAACAAGTTGTTAGTGTTTTTTCACCACAAAAATTTTCATTTTAAAGTCTTGCTGTTGAAAGTTATATTTACCCATATTTCACCTTCAAATTTTATCTTTTTCCAGTTACCGTCCTGGCTATTTTGTTTGACTTTAGCAGCGTTGGCTTTCCTAGATTTTTCCATGTTTGTGTGTTAATAATCGAAATGTCAGATCCTGAATCTAGTTGCATTTTTACCTTCTTGTTGTACATTTTTACATGTAGGTATTTTCGAATATTCAGGTCTTGATCTTCGTCTGACTTAGTAACTTTTACTCGACTTCTGTTTAATTTTCTACACTTGGACATCTTATGTCCTACTTTCTTCACAATTTCTGCAAGTTTTATTTTTATATGGACAGTCATTGTACCAGTGCCACTGGCCGCATCCATAACATGCACTCGGAGGGAGTTTTTTTCTATAGTCTCTGTTTATTCTTGTAGTAGGATACCACTTCCGTTCAGGCGATGGAGAACGGAAACGAGTCTTCCTATATACTTTCTTCACATTTGCGATAGCAGTTTCTTCTATTTTCTCTGAATCTTGCTTAATGCTTACGCATTGCTGACAGTACTCGGCTAGCTTTTGTAGTGTCATGTTTTGGTCATTTTCTAGCTTTGCTAAAATGCGTCTTCGCATTTCAATATCTTTTTTAGACACTAAGCCTAGCACGAATATTAGACACTTGAAATTGTCTGCCGATAATTCGGACAAGCGAAAATCGTCACATGTCTTATTTACGATTGACGCGAACGTCGTGTAGTCTTCCTGCTCGCTTTTTTGAATATTAAGGCATTTCCACCTTTTGTGAAATAATGATAATCTGGGGTTGAAGAGCGCTTTTAGCAATTCACTTGCGTCGTCGAATTTTAAATCTCTTGCCTTTTTGGGTAATATAAAATCCGTAAATTTGTTATGTTCTGTCGTTCCCAGTTTATATTTTTCTCGTCTGTCCATGCTTGGCAATCGACTTCAATAAAAGTCCTGATATCTATGGTAATATCTTTCGAAAGTTTTTTCCTCTTCTGGGTTATAGGTAAAACTTTCGATCGTCGACCATATTGTGTCTTGAGAAAAAGTACTTTCATCCGAGTCTTTCTGCTTATGTATAAGTTCAGTCATTGCTAACTGTTTTTCATTTTCTTCTTGTATTTTCTGAAAACGTTCTTCACTCTCTTGTTGTCTTTGCATCTGATACTTAATGAGTTCCAGCATAGATGATTGAAATTGCTCCATAATTATGTATGTGTAGAGAAAAAAGAAAACAAAATTATGTGTGTCTTTTTTTTTCTCTGAGTGGGGCCAAAAAATTATCAAATTCTCTGGCACGACAATTTTTGTTTTTTTAGCACAATAAATTGGTTATTAAAGATTCCAATTTAATCAATAAGTTAATGTCTAACTTACAGTTTTTTCTTTTTATCGATAACTTTTCAATCCTTTGCTGTGAAAAAATGCTTGAACTCTTGAATTTTTCCGAGTTGAAAAATCGTTTCTTTCGCTGTTGCGATATTTATTTTTCAACGTAGGTTCTTTTTATCCCGTTCGAAAGCCTTGTCGCCACTGTTGAGTTGTTGGGAGTGTTCCCGCGTGTGTGTATTCGAATAAAGACAAACACAGTTGTAGGGATAAATACTGGTATATTTGTAAGAGGTAATTAACAACAGAGTGATTAGTAATAAGGAACGCTGGTTAGTAAGTAACAATAGCAAAAGTCTACAGTCCAACGGTATGTAATGGTTACCTGATCCTTCACACTAATATTTATTTGCATTAAAATACAAAATGCGGCACAAGGCCAAAGAGGGGGATGGGGGAATGACGGTCTTCCTCTGTCTTAAATCTAAAACTTAGCTAGTCACAGACACTGACCCAAACATGCCAACAATAATCCAATCACCAAAACAACACATTCACTCCTACCTTTCTTACTACGTCCACCATAATACCTCAGTTTCTCTATGACGTCCTAACTAGTCCCCATATATACAAATATTGTTCATGGGGGGAGGGTCATAAAATAACAATTTTTAAAAAATCCCCAAATGCGTATTTACAGAATGAAATAATTATTTACAATAAAACTAAACAAAACTGAGTTAGTAATAAAACCCCTCCACAAACTATGAATGTGGCAGAAATGTCAGTTAACCAGACGAAATCGATGCGGGACTAAGAAAATGATTACACATTCAGACCATCAAGCATTCACACAAACACTCACTCATTCATACACAACAACAAATACGAAAACACACACCCGAAACGAAAGGCGTCCCGCATCCACCAGAAAACTGACATCACTAACCACCTAACGAGGGAGGGGATGGGGAATTAAACAAAAGTAAAAAATCGGGACAGAAATAAAAGGGACCCTGATCCTTCACACTACACCCCTACTCTCTCTAGCACTGACTTATATCGTAGAGGGATCAGTCCATTATCAGTCAGAAGGTGGGTGCGCCCCAATATAAAAAATATCATCGAAGGCTTTAACTGCTTTTGAATTCTGTCCAAATGTTGTATTGACTGCAGATGCTCTGGGTCTGTTCCTCTATATCCCTTATTGATAAGAGAGAGAGAGACAGAGAGAGAGAGGGAGAGAGAGAGAGAGACAGAGGGAGAGAGAGAAAGATTCTCTTTTACCAATGATAATAACTTTATAAAGATCTAATCAAATTTTCTATGCCATGTAATATTTTTATAGCAAGGGGTGTCTAATTTTGCAATTAGGTAATGTAATTCTAACGACAATCAGGAATTTGCAGAAGAAAAGCAAATAATAAAGACAGTAATTGCTGAAGAGAAACGGACGTTAAAATAAAATCATGAATCATAACTGGCAGAATAAAAACAAGAATTGGTAATATGAGTAAAGAGAAGATACAGCGATGAGGCTTCAAATAAAATGTGATGACAAAGAGATAATATGATGTTAGGAAGATACGATTCATATGATAAATAGAAGAAACAAGTTTAGAGTAAGTCAAAGAGGATCCAAGCGGAATTCTAGCAAGTGTAGTGCAATAAAACACCCAGGATGAAATTAGAGAAAGCAAGAAAAAAGCTAACATTACAAACGATAAAGAAAATGATCGATGTACAAGGCAATAATATAGAATTTTAAACATATTCAACAGCATTCATAATATAAATAGATCATTTGTCAGGTAAATTAGTGTCTAAGATAAAAAAAAATTAAGTTACATGGGCACACATCAAGTTTTCAGCGAGAAAGCAGATTCTGTGATGGGCTCTTGCTTAATTTTTAAATTTCAGGAATATTTATGGTACATTTTGATTAGTAGAACAGCTGCCTTTGTTTTTCGTCCAAAACCAATACAAGTGTTTCCATCCAATTTCCGATTAGCGAATTTGGAGCTTACCTGTATATTATATGTGGGATCTTGAATTTGAATTTATAAGGTGACAAACAGTTGCTTCAGGAATCCAGGTCGCCCTGGTTCAGAAGGAAAATGACAGAAAAATTTAGACCATCATCACATGATAATTGGGAAAAAAAAATACAAAACAACCCAGGTCCTCCCAACTCAAAAGAAAAGTCTTCGGCTCTTTGGTCTAATCCTGATTTCTCTTTTTCTTCACTATGTAGTTTGATTTTTAAGGACCTTCTTATGCAGTAATATAATTTTAATTGTAAAAAGGCATCTTTCATTTTCATTCAATAAGTTGTATGTTATTGGACATCATTTGGTACACAAAGTACTAAATAAGTGAAATTCTTTTTATTGTGCGTTAAGAATAAATGTTATTGTTTTAAACTCAACTCGTGTCGTCTGTCTTTTGTTGTGTGCCGATAAATGGTCGTTATAGTTCAAACTATTTTTCGTGTTATATTTTTAGCAAAAATATTTTATACGAGTGGCTTCGAAAATTTCCTGGACTGTCCTTGCTGTTGCCATACAATTCAAAGGGGACGTACACGAAGATAAAACTAATTGATATCCAGCTTATTTAATCAGTCTAGTTGTTAGATTCGTGATACCAAACGCGTATTCAGTTATGACGCCATGTTTTCTAATGCTATTTTGGAATGACTTGTTGATGTTTACAATTGTAGAAACGTTCCGGCATCAGTGTTTGCGTAAGATGATTGGGGGATTTAACGTTTCTAGGACATAGTGTTTTTTTTTTTTTTTTTTTTTGGTTCTGTTGATTTAAATCAAACGAAGAGAAACAACGAGTCACCTACATGACAAATTTCAGTGAATGGATAATAAAACAAACAAAACGAGTGAGGTTAACAAATCAAAAGTTCCTTAGATCAAAGAAATTCTGGAAATTGTGGAGACCTACGATCGTCTATTTTCTGAAAGTACAAACAAAAACATTTACTTCTGTTACTTCAGGTCAGAGATCTAAACTCCATATATTGTTGCATATGTGATTCATAAGGGTGTTTCATGACTATTGTTGTGGAATCCGGGATGAAATCCGGTACCAATAAATAACAAACGCCAAGAATTAATATAGGAAAATAATGTATTAACGTAATAATACAAACTGGTAATGCAGGTTAGTAGTTCCAGGAATATGGGTTAGTAGCAAAATATCTATACAGTCTTTGGTATTGAAGTATCGCGCTAGGACTTCTTACTGAGTGCTCGCTCACCATGACTCGCTACGTTCGTTCTGTCTGTCTGTCTGTTACCTTCACCCTCTATTGCTCTCGTTCTCTCGGGTTTCCACGTAGCAGTAGTATATGTATATACTGGGTGAGTCCATTTGTGTAAAAAGGGGAGAACCCCTCATCAACTATTATCATTGCTCCCTCATTAGTTTCTATGGTCTTCTTAAGATAGCAATGTTTTACTATCTTAGCTTCTTAGTGAAAATCAAATTGGTCGTCTGTTCTTTAGTAGAAAGGTTTCTTTTTTTTCCGTAGTGTTAAATCGCATTACGCGTATAGTGTTTTTTCCTTACCAAGGAAATATTACCGACTACTTTTTAGTGAATCAGAGAGACTGTTTAATCTTTTTGCTCGTTACTATATAACAGTTTCGGAACGCGTGTGTTCGTTCAAAAGAAAAACTTCTCACTGAAAAGTTTTTGAGGAAGAAATCTTGTTTTCTCACAAATTGCCGATTCATCAATTCACGGTCAAATGATAAGGCACTCATTCCGCCAAATTCTCTTTGTGATGACAATCTCCGTGTTATGGGGTCCTCCCCTTTTTCATATAAGTGGACTCGACCAGTGTGTTACTTGGACTGCTACCGTTAAATACCCAGAGTCAGTCAGAATATGGACAGAGTCAGAGTGAGCAGAGATTGAGATTGTGACTGAGTTGGAGGTAGAGTAATAGTGTGAGGTAACCGCTTGTAGAAGTCAGTTACAAGCACGTAGACTCTAAGGAAGTCCTACTTCGAGACTGTATATATATATATATATATATATATATATATATATATATATATATATATATATATATATATATATTATTGCTACTAACCGCGTTCCTGGATTTACTAACAGTATTACCCATTGTATTATTGTGTAAATACATTTAATTTTCTATCCTTAATTCCTGCGTTTGTCATTCTTTGGAGACCGAATTTCATCTCGGAATACACGACACTCCGGGACTTATGATCGTTATCTGAACATAACAAATATTATCACATTTCAGAAATGCTTCCAACATACATGGTTGCTTATAAGATAGATTTTACTTATTTAATTTATTTTACTTCACGCAAATATACACTTTCTCAAGGAGGAAATATAATATTGTTCAGTCATTACATACTTTTAAATAAACCCTTTTTTTAAAATTAATTTAAATAAACAAGACATATAATAATTAACTGTGTATACTAGTAACATCTGTGACGATGTTACACTTAAGTGAAATGACGATTTTCTATAACGATTGGTTCATATTTTTCAATTATTTGCGTTTTGGTCAAGTTTTCTAAATTATCAGATGACTTTTTAATTTAAAGCTAATTTTAAAAATTACTATCTTGAGAAGAAAATGTTTTTCGCAGCGAAAAATTAAAAATATTGTTCTATGTTGATGTAACTGAATCATAGGAAGTTAGATGTTAACAATTGGAATCTTTGATAGCATCAATAAGACTTCACGTTTCGTCATCACAAAAATAAATACAAAATTTTGTTATTCCTCATGTTGTATTTTTCAGATATGGTAATGTCTACATCTCTCTATCAGTCTGGTACATTTTTATAACATATCTTCTATCTATATTCACATTTACCTATATTCACATCTATCGATATTCACATTTACCTATATTCACATCTATCTATATTTACATCTATCTATGTGTAAATATATCTACATCTATGACTGTGTAATTGTGCATGTTCCTGTCAATTTCATATCTGCCGATTGCAAAGCCGATTTCGGCTATCGTAAGTGGTATTTTACAAATGTTCTTTTCTGCTACTCAATTAGACGACGATTTACGACATAAATGTCATCATTACCCACATTGCTTTCCCTTTTTTTTTCCTTACATCTTTCCAGGTCGCCATGTCCCAGTGAAAGCAGGAAACATGACTTTTGCAAAAAAATGATCGATCTTTCTTTATGCATATTTGATACACACGATGCAGTTGTTCAATTGACAAAATATCTCTGTTGTAATTGATGTCAAGAAGTTATAACTACAGCTAAGGTTTCGCATCCAATGTTGAAAAATCTGTTTGACAACAGAAAAGCATTAACATTTATCTTTTCCTATGAGTATTCAGCCCGCGAAGAAACCGAATAAAATACGCGGGAAAATATACTGAAATCATTGAGAAAGGGAGTGGGGGTATACGCAAATAATACAGTTAGTAATGTAAATCATATTAGAGATTCAAATTAGAGGAAAAAAAATAGGTTTATGTTTGCTATCTTCCAGTTTTTCATAGGCTAGTGAATAATAATAATAAATCTCATCTAGTTTGTTGGGAATCGAGATTTCACGCCGTCAATCAGTTTATAGGAAATACACAGGAAGATTTGTCAGAGCAACAGCATAAAGCCTTATTATTTCTGATATTCCTTTCGAAGAACAGCGAAAAATTGAAGAATGAGAAAAGCATAATTCCGTTGATTTAATAATGTTTTTTCTTGGAATTTCCATAAAGATTAATGGACGCGGCAGATAGATTCGACCAAATGATGTGATAAGTTAAGCTAATTCGTTTTTTTTTATCGTGTGTGTATCCGAGGACCAGCCCTGTATTTCGTACAGAAATGCAAATGACATGCTTACTTAATTCTTGATAAATACAAATCATTTGCGAAATTCTTCCTGAAATACATGAAGAAGAATATAAAAAAAAATTGTTTATTGAAGGCAAATTGAGTTTTAATGGAATAAAAAAGGGATAACAAATTGCTGGCGCCTTTTCCATTTAACTTGCATTTATATTGAATCTTTACTTTAGAAATATTTATAAAAAATAAATCATCTCCTCAGGACGTAGGCGATCGTGGCTCTCCACAACTTTCTGTCCTTTGTAGTTCTTAATAAATGTTTTTTTTTTTCTGTTATTCCTCCTAAACTCTGTTCCGCCGTCCATTTATTTAATCTCTCTGTTATATGTTGCTTTCCTCGGTCCCTCCTGTCCTGTGAGTATCAGATTTTCCAAGTCCTCTTTCCCCATTATGTCCCAGAAATTTCAACTTCCTGATCTTAAGTATAAATTTCCTTTTTTTCCCATTTTCTCTAAAACGTTGTCGTTGTTCATATAATTGGTCCATGGTATCATCATCAGCCTTCTGTAGAAGCACATTTCTGTTGCTTGAAGTCTCTTCGCCATCTTTGTGGAGATTGTCCAGCACTCACTGTCATACAGGAGGACAGATATCACGTAGCTGTTTAATACTCTTTTCTTTGTTCCTAACGAAGTTTTTCTGTTTCTTAATACTATGCTTAGTTTTTCGAATGCATCTTTGACTATCCCAATGCGCCTTCGGATTTCAGGGTCGCACTTTCCGTCCTCTATTAAAATACTTCCTAGAAATTTAAAATGTTGTACTTATATCGGTATCTCCAATTTACAATTCGTATTTTGGGTTGTCCCTTTTGTTAATAGCCATGAATTCTATCTTCTTTCAATTGATCACTGCCTAAACAAAAATAATCTTTTTCTCAATGACTTATGAATTGCTAACACTTAAAATTAATTTCTGTCTGAATTTCTGAGTTCTCATTATTTAGACGCAGATTATTATCTCGTCGGAATAGCCAAGTAGATTAGCATCGGTTGATAAATTTGGTAACATAACCGTAAGTTCGATATTTGGGTCGGACAGTGTGTACTTGGATTAGTCGAAACGGGCCCAGCAATAACTAAAGCATACTAAATAAGAGCTAGACGATATATCCCGAGACATACGCAGCGGGAGGAGAACAATCTACCCTCGTAGTAATCAACGACTGTAGATTGTTTTCGTTTCAACAGAGGGTTCAGTTCGAAATTCCCTGGAGGTTACCCGGAGGAACTGAACCCTTTGTTGAACCGAGAACAATCTACCGTCGAGGAAAGCCGGAGAGCACAACGGCTGAACAACAACAAAGATGGGGACAATAGTCGGCATGTAAATAATATAAATTAACTGTTATGGGGTCCACCCTTTTCGGATATAATGGACTCGTCCTGCTGCCATAAAATAGCCACAGTCAGGCAGAGAAGATGAGTCGTACATGAGTCGTACCGGAGTCGTCTGTGAGTGTCGGTAGTCGGATAGAGTGAAGTAACCTCTTGTAGAAGTCAGTTACAAGCACGTAGACTCTAAGGAAATCCTACTTCGAGACTGTATATATCTATCTGTATTTGCTACTAATCGTGTTCCTGGATTTTACTAACAGCATTACCTTTTGTATTTTGTGTAAATACATTTAATTTCTTAGCTTAAATACTTGCGTTTGTCATTTATTGGATACCTATTTTTTACGCGGCATCCACAACATTAACAAAACTAAATGAAAATGATTTCATGATAAGGATTCATTGTAAAAACAGATTATATTCCTTTTATTAAGAAATGTCAAATTTCCTATTATCTCAAACGAATGCCAAACAGCTTTTATTTCCTTTCGTCTTCCGATCAACTTTTGTTAAACGAATGTCATTCCAAACTAAGGAGAGAATTACTTTGTTTCATAACCCGTAGATACATTTGCTCTTCATCAAAATAAATGTCATATTTAATCATATCAAAATTCATTTTTTGGTAGTAAACTTGAATTAGTATGTTTTGATTTCAAAGTTTTATTTTAAAAATGAATCAAATTTCATACAAACCTATTTTCAATACACATAAATGTCAAAGATGTCATTTATGCGAATTGAAATTAGAAGCATTGGAAGATAAAATTCTTTACTTAAGCCCAACTCTGTATATATATATATATATATATATATATATATATATATATATATATATATATACAATAAATTGCTCATTGCTGCCTGTTTTCAATAACCAACTGGCAGAAATGAGCATTTTCTATTCTTTATGTATTGTTTCACAAGCGTCTTACAATAGATACTTTTGTTCTTTGTTAACGGAGAGTTGCTTGATTCTTTAAGTTGCTGATTCTTCTATGCAACTCATACCGACTATCCTGACTGTCAGAAGAAGTTCCGGTCGAATTGTGTCATCTCCCTTTTGCGGATCTATAAAAACAGCTGATAGAAGTAGTCAGAAACAATTGTGGCAGTAACGGAACTAAGACCACACCTATTGCCGTGACTAGCATACGATTACAATGTAAATTTTTTCAGCAATTACAAAAAATGCTTGCGTAAACTAGTGTGTAGTCGCATCAACATAACAAATTTAGTCCAATTAAGTCCTAAAGAAAAGTTTTTTCACTATAATACATTTCCCCCCATAGGATTAATGTGAGTAAAATCTGTCACTTAGCTGACTGATTTTACTTTTAGCACTCCGACTCCAGAGTTTCGTAGACAGCCCTGTTCGTCCACTCTTCAAGGAGCATCAGCAACATATATATATATATATATAATTATTTATTTAAAAATATGATTCCAACTCGCGACATAAGAGGTCTCATGTTTCAAAACTTCAATATAATTATTTGAATTAAATTGAGTTAAAGAAAGCTCTGTTCTATCTTCAAGCGAAATTTTTTTTTTTTGGAATAACGTATTTCTGAAATTTACGTGTTTTAATAATTGAAATCAGAATTTCCATGGTAACAGCGAGGGCGAATTGTTTAAATTGGGTAGGCGTGTGTTGGGTGTTAATAATAAGTATCAGTATAGAGTTACTTTCATAGATGTCAAGTCAGGGAAAGGTGGGGGTGTCTAAATTTGAAACGGAAGATGTATTAACCCTCGTCTAGTTAGAGCGTGTCTATGAAGATTTATTTATTTTTTTATTTTATTTTTTATGAAAGGGATTTGTGCATATAAAAACTGCCGTAACGTTTTTTTTTTTTTTTTTTTGACGACTTCATAAAGGGTTATCTTTTTTGTAGGGTATTTAAACTATTTATTAGGGCTATGGATTATAAAAGTTATTATATTGTATGCTTGTTTTTAGCTAATTATTCAAACCATGAATTTGATGATGACGACAAAAAACCGTTAACTCATGTCTATTGTTTAATAGATTATTATTATTTAGAAACTTAATAATGTGCAGCTTCTCATGGAGGCACAAAGGTCATGGGTCATCCCAAGTTTTACATGTTCTAGTCCTGTTTATAATTTTCCATTTTACTTTAGGTGTCCTATTTATTTCCTTCAGATGCCAAAAATATTTAGATAGGGGAGTCTGATTTCTTTTATTTATATTGTTGAAAGAGCACTTATGCTGCCTCCATCTAGCTTTAAAATCATTCTTCGTGGAACCAATGTATATCATATTAGTGCTAGGACTCTCAGTGGATGATATAGTACATTGGTATACCACAGATTTGATGCAGCATTTATTTTATAATGGGCAGTCTTCTGGGTTTCTACAGTTACATAATTTTTCCCTGTTATTGTCTGATTTAAGTGTAGGGTTTTTATTAATACTGTTCAGGCATGGGGGTTTGTTCAAGATTTTATTATTGTGTTTTTTATTATACCTTCTAGATTTTCAGTGCAGCTGTAACTCAATTTTAGGGTGTTCTTATTAAATATATTACTGAGCTTACTGTTGGTGGGGAAGTGTTTATCAATTAGAGCGAAAAATTTCTGTCCTAGTTTAATACTAACCATTTGGTTGAACGGAGGGGTATACCAAATGATTTTTCTTTTCCTGTTTTTTTTCTTTTGTCCAGTGCAATTGTCTCTATAGTTAATGATTGAATTTTTATAACCACTATTTTTTAGGGCAGTGTTATAGAAACCATTGTGTTGTTGGAATATTTCCTTGTTAGCGGAGTTAATGCTAA